CAGGAAGGGGTAGAGGATTTCTCCCTGCCTAGCACCCCGGCTAGAGCTGTCACTCCCACACAAGGAGGAGAGCTAGCTAGTCCAGCATCAGTCAGATCCTGGACGATCCCGCGCATAACCACGGAATTAAGGAGACGACAAATCCCCTACCCCGCTACAGCAAGGAAGGCAGAACTTTTCAAACATCGACTAATAACATGGATGCCGGGGAAGGGGCTAGCCAGTCCAACCCAGGTGACATACATGCCATGTTATCCTCACTCATGGCATCCATGAGCAAGGTCAACTCCAGGCTGGAGAAACTTGAGTCGGTCACCACGGCCCTCACTCTAGCAGGGCCACCCTCTTCTGCGGTACAAACACCAGCCTTGCCATTAGTCGCTCCAGCCAGCACCCTGGATGACCAGGAAGTTAGCCCGGCCCACATGATACATGAGCACATCAAAAGGGATATCCTGGAAGGTAAAGACGTCAACCTGGCTTCCCTGTTGATTGCCTCCCAGGACATTGTGGAACATAAGACATATGCTTATGATGATGTATCTGTTATTGTCAGATCTAGGGATGCCCGCCTGAACAGGAAACTGACTATCCCTGAATTTGTACTAGCGTTTGGTATTTACAGGGATGTCATCTGTGCGGTTTATCCCAACAGAAGAGAGGAGTTTGATCTATATATGCACAAGCTGGTAGACCTGGGCAACAAATATGGTGGTTCGGCATTCTATGACTACCATAGGTCTTTTTCTGCAAAAGTGGCTAGAGCATTCTCCCAGTACGGAACACGATCCAACTGGAGAAGGATTGATACCGTCTTATTTTGCAGACACTTTGCAGGTCTAAAAACACCAGCTTGTGCATACTGCTCCTCCACAGCCCATACTACTAATTTTTGTCCCAACATGGCAGACGGACATGCCTCCACGCAAGGAGCTAGTTCCTCTGGGGATCCAGGGAAATTTTCAAAAGACAAATTGGGACGCCCAATCAAGTTTCTGGGCAAGTTCCAGATATGTAATAATTTCAATGTTGGGTCTTGTAATTACAGTGGATGTAGACTATTGCATGTCTGTTCAAAATGTTTTAGGGCACATGCAAAGACCACGTGTCCAAATAAAATGTATTCTAAGCCTTACCTTATGTTCATTAATATGCCAGTATTCACAGCATTGATGTCTCAGCACCCATCTAGACATCTGGTAGACTTTCTTATTTCTGGTTTAACAGAAGGCTTCCACACAGGTATCCTACACATACCAGCCGGAACTCTGGAATGCCCTAACCTACAATCCGCCCAACACAACCCCACAGTGGTTGACACCCTCATAGCCCATAGGCCTTTTAGAACTCCTCCATTCATAGAATGGCGCACCAACCCTATTGGTATTGTCACAGGGAAATCTTCCCAAAAACAGAGACTCATCATTGACTTATCGGCTCCCCACTCATCGGTCAACCCCAGTCTTAATTCCCTTATACCCTCGGAGGAATTCTCACTGCAATACACCACCATAGATCACGCCATTACAGCTATCATACAAGCAGGGGTTGGAGCCTGGCTCAGTAAGACCGACATTACTAACGCCTTCAAATTACTCCCTATCCACCCCACACTGTGGCACCTGCATGGCATCAAGTGGTCTGGGAACTACTATTTTTTCTCCCGGTTAACTTTTGGGTCCAAAAGTAGCCCAGCTATTTTCGACACATTTGCCGAAGCATTATGCTGGTTACTATTGAACATAGCCGGATGCCCTACGGTATTACATTACTTGGACGATTTCCTACTGGTCGAGGAGAATACTGCACCTCCCACTAGTCTCAAAGCTACCACTAAGCTGTTTGAGCAACTAGGTGTACCCATCTCCCCAAAGAAAACAGAAGGGCCAGACACGGTTATCACTTTTCTGGGTATCCAATTAGACTCTGCCACAATGCAAGCAAGCCTACCATACGATAAGATAGAGAATATTCTCACTTACATAAACAACTACCTACAGCTCGGCACTTGCAACCGCAAAGAGCTACAGTCCCTGCTAGGGTCACTAAATTTTGCTATGCGCATCATACCTCAAGGCCGCTCCTTTATTTCACGACTATTGCATCTTTTCCCACTTTTTCTACATGACACGCACAGGTTGTCCTTAGATGCCCAAGCTACGGCAGATCTAAACATGTGGAAGAGGTTTTTAACCACTTGGAATGGTAAAAGTATGTTCCTCCCTCAATTGACTGAATCATCTCCTACCATTTGGTCAGATGCGGCATCTACCACTGGTTTTGCAGCAATTTTTGGGAATGAATGGCTTTGGGGCAGCTGGCCTTCAGCAGTTCAGGATTTGGAAGGTTTTTCCACTACCTCAGCTCTTTTTGAGATCTACCCCTTAGTGGCGGCTGTTGTAGCATGGGGTCATTTATGGGCTAATACGCCAGTGCGTTGTTACTCAGACAACCAGGCAACCTGTCACATCATCAACAAAGGTCGTTCCAAATCTCTTACGATCATGAGATTTCTGAGGAAACTCACTTGGTTGGCAGCTTGTCATAATTTCTTCCTATGTTGTTTCCATGTGCCAGGTGTATATAACACAGCTGCTGACAATTTGTCTCGCTTTAAATTTCAGGAGTTTCATCAAGCACTCCCGTCAGCAGCACCCACAGCCACCATCACTCCAACATTTCAACAACTCATACTGGACTAGATGTCATCATGCAGCATAGCAGGACATTGTCCCAATTGGCACTTTCAAACAATACAAACAAAACATACAGCAGGGCTTTCACACTATTCAAACGATTCCTTCTGGAACATAACATCATACAACCGTTTGTTATGACATCTTTTTTGGGGTTTGCTTCCTTTTGCCACCTTAAACTCAAAATGTCATACAACACCATCAAACTCTATCTCACTGGCATTCAACACCACATGCTAATCTTACACCCAAATAACAACAGTTTCATGGCCTCTCACCAAATTAAGACCATACTCAGAGGTATTCAAAAATCAGAACCCACACATTTGGCCCAGAGGCTACCCATAGATAACCATATCTTCAAAGCTTTATCTAACCTACTTGACTTAAAACAGTTTGACACTAATACGAATTCTATCATCAAAACAGCAATATACATCGCTTTCTATGGATTTCTACGACCCAGAGAATTCACTACGACCTCCACGACCCAAACCACTCCATTCCTCCTCTATTCCCACTTGACAAAACATATGGATCATTACATCCTGTCTTTACCTCACTCCAAAACCAGTCAGCACATACCTGTAAACATTCCGTACTATCCCACGCACAACAGATGGTGTCCCGTCAAGGTTCTTGATGCCTACATACAGCACCATCACTTACTGCCCTCGCAACCGTTATTACAACTGCAAGGTGCAGTACTCACCACTACAACCTTCATGACCTACGTCAGGTCCTTGCTCACACAACTGGGCCTCAACGCAAACAAATACTCAGGACACTCCTTTCATATAGGAGCCGCGTCCACAGCCTCCAATGTCAACATCCCAACTCATGTTATCAAAACACTGGGGCGCTGGAAGTCATCCGCTTACTCACGGTACATACCGAACCCAGTACAAGAATTAAGGGATGCTTTCATAAACATGTCTGGTTGATAAAATGTATATGTATTGGTTGTTTGTTAAATAAATTTAATTACTTAATTATATGTTTTAAGGCCATTTGGCCTGTATTTGTGGGAGGGGCTTAAATTAATTCACTCCCCTATATAAGGGACACCCCTTACCTGACTCATATCGCTTGAGGTCAGCATCAGAATGATTTCCACTTCCGGGTCATCCAGACGCCATTTTACCTGATTTCTCCATGAGGTTTTCTAAGCTGAGCTGTGTCAGGAATCCAGCCACAGGCTTTTCCGGCCTACCACCTTCTTTCTTCAATCTATCGCTGTGGATGGTGTCCAAGTGACTCACAAACCGTAAGTCGACCTACCCGTTACGCCAGGCATCAGTCCCACGGCACCATGCAAGGGTCAGGTCCTCACTTTATGGCTGCATTTTGTCCAAGTCTGTTCTAAAACCATTGCATGTTCGTGCATATCATTCGTTTAAATTCACTTGTTTATATCTGTCACTGGCTCATTTCGAGCATTAGCATACTTCCAAACGGGAACACATTCTGTTTCAATTGCCTAAACATACCAGGCAATTCTGTGCGTGCATTTCGAATCTCACTGCTCGTTTCGTTTTGTTTCCCTGACATACCAGGCTCACGGTTCGTGCAATTTTCTACCAAACGGGAACTAGTTCATGCATTTACTGTTGTACTACACACACGCTTCGTGCGTTTACAACCCACGAACAGAACTTTGGTTTGTTACAATGACTGTTATTAAGCTATTATGTTCACTTATTGTATATTGTCAAACGGGCACTGTTTGTTTCCCTGTCATACAACTAAAATGCTGGGGAATAGCTCACGAACAATGTTTCACATAAACCACACTGACCCTTACAGGTCACTCTCAAAATCTCACGTTAACCTTGCATTTGGATTAACCCCTTAAGGACCAAAATCTGGAATAAAGGGAATCATGATATGTCACACATGTCATGTATCCTTCAGGGGTTAAAGGGTATTTTTACCATACAATCAGCATTTCTGACCCCTACTGGTCAACAGCAAAACTGTCTTCACATGTCATATACAATTTACCAGCCAATATAAATTACACATAAGGTTGTTTTAAACATAACTATAAACCATGAATTAAACTCCAACACGGGCTCAACTTCAGGTTTAATTCACAATAATTTACATTTCACATCAAGGCTAACAGTGGTTCTATCAACACTGCCACCTACAGGTCTGTCAAGTACATTGACAATTTTCATGGGGTTTTTCATGGGGTTTTACAAACACCAAAACACTGACCCCTATAGGTCAACAGACAAACAACATTTCACATACCAATCAGTATCAACTACACTGCCACCTATAGGGCACTCAGCAGATCTCCAGTGCACTTGCATTTTGCAACTCCATGTTCACTGACCCCTACCATTCAATAAGACATACAACAATTCACATAGCAAGCAGTATATCAATATTTGTTATAAATACACATATTATTACACAGTAGCACACGCATCTGTATATACGTAACTGGTAATATGGTTCACATACATACGACACTTAATGGGTTAAGATTGATACATATTTAACCAGTATGGATATGATGTTTAATATTTACATATCACGGCACTTTACTTTTACATATACTGTATGTTTTAAGATAAGCTTGGTCTATGCCATATTTCCTTATGCCATACGATTTTATCCATTCAGGTTATAGTTACTACTAAAAAACCTATACGGATTGTCAGGTTCAATACCATACTACCAGGTACGTACACCTGCTCACGTAGTTATCCATCTCTTACCTTCCCTGGAATAGTAATAGTGTACCGGCAATTAGGGTTCTAGGGCCCAATAGGTATTACCCCCTTTTTTCTCTGCATTATGCTTCGGTTAGTGGTCCCGCGAGGCCAACACCCCGCCTCACACTCGGAGGCATACACCCCTCGGGCCACTCGTGAGCTAGCCGCCTCGCATTGTATCATAGAGAGGGCCTCACCTGTCACTCCCCTTCCTATTTTTCTGGTTACTGTCACCGAGAGGCCAACATCCTGCCACAACGTTCGGTGGCCACACAAAATCCCCTCGCGCCAAGCATAGATAGAGCCTCTCAAGCCACTTGGCAACTAGCAGGGCCTCACCAGTCACCAAAAAACACCAAGCCTAATCGTTTCGCCTTACGGCTTAGCTAGCCAGTCGGTACAAGACCCCTGGGTACAAATATATAATTGAAATCTTTATTGTTATTTAAGTATTTCTCAAAAAGATGGTAAAGAATCACCTCTTCCTAGCACCACGGCTAGAAGTGATACACCTTCATCTCTTACCTTCCCTGGAAAAGTAGTAATGTACTGGCAATTAGGGTTCTATGGCCCAATAGGTATTACCCCCTGTTTTCTCTGCTTTACGCTTCGGTTAGTGGTCCCGCGAGGCCAACACCCCGCCTCACACTCGGAGGCATACACCCCTCGGGCCACTCGTGAGCTAGCCGCCTCGCATTGTATCATAGAGAGGGCCTCACCTGTCACTCCCCTTCCTATTTTCTGGTTACTGTCACCGAGAGGCCAACATCCTGCCACAACGTTCGGTGGCCACACAAAATCCCCTCGCGCCAAGCATAGATAGAGCCTCTCAAGCCACTTGGCAACTAGCAGGGCCTCACCAGTCACCAAAAAACACCAAGCCTAATCGTTTCGCCTTACGGCTTAGCTAGCAAGCCAGTACAAGACCCCTGGGTACAAATAATAATTGCAATCTTTATTGTTATTTAAGTATTTCTCAAAAAGATGGTGAAGAATCACCTCTTCCTGGCACCCTGGCTATAAGTGATACACCTTCAAGCAGAGGAGATGTGGCTCCGACCTAAGGAGGCGACAAATCCCCTACCCTGCCACAGCAAGGAAAGCAGAGTTATTCAAACTCCTCCATACATCAACGGAGGCCCAGCAACACCAACTCAGGTGACACCCAGGCCATGCTAGCCTCACTCATAAAATCATGAGCCAAAAAATTTACGACAGACTGGCAATCTCGAGTCAGTCACAGCCCTCACAAGGCTGGGCCTCACGCTACTGTACAACCAGCACCAACCGAAACTCGGTTACTTGGTACAAGACGTTAACCCTGCACATATGATCCCGGCACATTGGGAACACAAGGCATATATATGTATGATGATGTATCTATGATGGTCAGACCCAGGGATTCTAGGTAAATCGGGAACTGACCATCCCTTGGTTGTGTTGGCATTTGGAATATGTAGAGATGCTTATTTGTGCAGGTACCCATACAGAAGGGATTTTCTCCCAAACAAACGGGCGAGTACTCTCAGGCTCCAGGTACCAGCACCTCTGAACTACCAGAGACAATTGGTATTAGTAGTTGTATTGCATATAGACTGTTTCATATATGTTCAAATCATTCAGGGCACATGACAAACCATGTGTCCCAATACAACTTACAAATAACGTACTCACCATCTGTACACACCAATGCATCACCCTTCCAGACTTGTAGTAGATTTACTAAGGCTCTGGAGCTTCAAAGGGCTCCCATACATGTATCATAAATAAACTCTCAAGGAATATACCATGCCCTCACTTAGTCAGCACAACAGAACCGTCGGCTGTAAACACACTCATAGCCAAGATTTGCAGAGGGGTTTTTACTTGGGTTTCCAATCTCCACCATTTACAGCATGGCACCAAACACAAACGCATTGGTATTGTCACAAGGGAATCTTCCCTTAAACAAAGACTAACCATAGACTTATTGGGACCACACACCTTCGCTACCCCAAGTCTCAACTCCCTCATATCCTCCAAGGAGTTTCCTTACTATACAGCACCATTGATCTACCTTTACAGCTATCACTCAAGCATGGGTTGAAGCTTCGTTAAGTAAGACCAATATCATCAACACAGTAAACGGCTACCATCTACCCTACAAACTGGCACTTACATGGCATAAAATGGGCAATCCTTTCCCCGCTAAAAGCAGCTGCTGTGGCATGGGGTAAATCATGGTCAGGGTCATCAATCCGTTGTTACTCAGACAACTAAGCACATGTCATATCATCAACAAATGCCACTCATCATCCATACGATCATGGTATTGCTGGGGAACTCACTTGGTTGGCCACTTACCACATTTCTTTTACTTTCATGTACCAGGCGGGGGTATACATCCTTGCCGACAATTGTCTCATTTATATTCCAGGCACGTTCATTATATGCTTCCTACAGCCACCCATACAGTCACGGCCACTCTTTCGTTCCAGAGACAAAATCATGGATTAGACATACTCATGCAGCATAGCATGCACTTTCCCACCTAACACTTTCATCCCATACTTGTAGAACGCATAACACCTATTCACCTGGCTTTAAAGAATCTCATTGGAACACGACATAGCTCAACCTGTGTCATAACATTTCTCCTAGGTTTTGCTTCATTTTTTGCCACCTTAAACTAAAACCATCTCACACACCATTAATTATATATTTTACAGGCATTCAACAACACAGGATAACCTATGGCTAAAACTACCATAACTTCATGCTATCATACCAGACAAGAATATACTCAGAGGTTTTCAGGAATCCATCCCCCCACGTTCCTCTCAGATATTACCAATAGCCATCCAACTTTTCCATCCTTATCGGACCTATTAGAGCTACAACCATTCAATTATACTACCAAGTTGGCCATTACCAGCCATGCACACTGCCTTTTATGCCTTTCTCAGGCCAAAGAATCCACTACCATAACCACCACTCAGACAGATCATTGTCTTCAACGATCCCACGTATGTAAACACATATATCATTACCTATTGGCTCTACCACATTCCGAAACGAGTCAACACGCACCAACAGTAGAGATAACATACTATCCTACCCACAACAAATGGTGTTGAGTTGCGGTCCTAGATTCCTACCTTCAAAAATCCTTCAAGGAATTAAATACCGTAATGCATTTAAGGAAATGTCTGGTTAATTTGTATATATTGTTGACTGTATTAAACCTTTGATTATTCTTTTTGCCCTCTTTATTTACAGGCCTACCGTATCGTCGGTCTCGGCACACCACAACCGACTTGCTCCCTTTATACTATCCTACGCTTATGCTGGAACCTTACTCCATATACGGCTATTTGCCCCGAACACAAGTTTTAAGGCCATTTGGCCTGTATTTGTGGGAGGGGCTTAAATTAATTCACTCCCCTATATAAGGGACACCCCTTACCTGACTCATATCGCTTGAGGTCAGCATCAGAATGACCCTCCCACCCACTCCTCATTTCAACACTTTCTCTTTTCTTTCCATTTACTTTACTTACTTACTCCTTGGTGGGCCCTCTTTATTTACAGGCCTACCGTATCGTCGGTCTCGGCACACCACAACCGACTTGCTCCCTTTATACTATCCTACGCTTATGCTGGAACCTTATTTCATATACGGCTATTTGCCCCGAACACAAATGTATATATATACATATATTAATTCTGCATATATATTTATGTAATATTTTTACATTATTAGGTATCTTAATTAATTACAATTAGAGGGACCTGCCTGACAACCCATGCCGAAAGTAAAGGGAATTTAATTTGCTAGCACTATATTTAACCCTATAACTTTCCAAGACACAATAAAACCTGTACATGGGGGGTACTGTTCTACTCGGGAGACTTCGCTGAACACAAATATTAGTGTTTCAAAACAGTAAAATGTATTACAACGATGATATCGCCAGTAAAAGTGACTTTTTTGCATTTTTCATGCACAAACAGCAGTTACACGGACGATATTATTGCTGCGATACTTTTTACTGTTTTGAAAACAAATATTTGTGTTCAGCGAAGTCTCCCGAGTACAACAGTACCCCTCATGTACAGGTTTTATGGTGTTTTCAAAAGTTACAGCGTCAAATATAAGGCTTGCGTTTCATTTTTTTCACATTAAAATTCGCCAGATTGGTTACAGTGCCTTTGAGACCCCATGGTAGCCCAAGAATGAAAATTACCCCTATGATGGCATACCATTTGCAATAGTAGACAACCCAAGGTATTGCAAACGGGGTATGTCCAGTCTTTTTTAGTAGCCACTTAGTCACAAACACTGGCCAAAATTGGCGTTTTTGCATTTTTCACACACAAACAAATACTAACGCTAACTTTGGCCAGTGTTTGTGACCAAATGGCTACTAAAAAAGACTGGACATACCCCATTTGCAATACCTTGGGTTGTCTACTATTGCAAATGGTATGCCATTATGGGTGTAAATTTCATTCCTGGGCTACTATAAAGTCCCAAAGGCAACGTAACCAATCTGGCGAATTTCAATTTCAAATGTAACGTGCTATATTTGACCCTGTAACTTCCCAAAACGCCATAAAACCTGTACATAGGGGGTACTGTTTTACACGTGAGACTTTGCTGAATACAAATATGTGTATTTTATTGCAGTAAAGCAAACAGTATTATGACATTAACCGTTAAAATGTCAAGTAGAACTAAAAAAAAAAAAAAAAAAAAATCTTATTTTCTCCCATTTTTCATATTAAATTATGTTTCATAGCTAAATATTTGATATTAAATGAAAGCCCTGTTTCCCCTGAATAAAATGATATATAATAGGGTAGGTGCATTTACTATGAAAAGAGGTCTAATGCGGTTGGACAGACATGTAAGCGCCAAATGCCAGGTTTTGTTTACATTTTGTTTTCAGAGCGTGTACATTTGGCTCCGTCCTTAAGGGGTTAACTCAGACAAGGTGCTGCAGCAACTAAAGTTAATATAAACAAAGCTCCAGGGCCTGACGGTATCCATCCACGAGTACTTAAGGAACTA